TTCTGTTGTAGTTCAGCATTCTGAAGCGTAATTTGTTGGAATTCCATTTGTTGTTTATGTAATTTCAAAAATCGTTGTTGTCTTTCTTTTGCTTTTTGTTGCTGATCCAAATTTAGTTTTAACATTTGGTCAACTGCTTTTTGAAAATTTTCGATAGTTAAAAATGACAGTGCTTTTTTGTTGCTTTGAAACACGTGTACTAAGAGGTGGTACACAAAAAAATCTTGATAGATTTTTGTTCCTTTTTTTTTCTTTTACAGAAAAAATATATGGACAGACAATAGTTAAACTAAACTAATTATGTGTTTAGCTTTTTTTCCCCGTGGTTCCGTTAATTTTGACGTAATTGAATAAATTTTCACCACACTTATGATTTTTTTTATAGAGTTACAAAAAGAGAAAACTCACCTCAGTGAATTTGAGGGGAGAATAATTTTATGCATGAGTTCAACTCAGTTGCATAAAAAAAAATTAGATAGTTTTTTTCGAAAACTTGAGTACAATTGCAGTACTTCGGCTCTGGGTTTATTTTCTCTGTGTGTTAGTGTGTAAGAAATCGTTCTCGTAATGTTATTTGGACAGACTTTAATATTCCGTATATGTCGAATCGCTAGTTCGTCACTGATGTTTGGTATTGGAATATATATTATTTTTTTTATATGTAGACGCTGGGTATTGCGTTTAAATCGCTAATGTAGTAATACCAGCTTAATTTCTCGTTCAACACTGCTGTGGGAACGCGTGGAGTTTCTGTGTATTTTTTCGAGTACTCTGTCGCTATTGATATGGTGTGAACGAAATTCTCGAATCTTTCTGTCGCCACTGATGTGGGACTGGCAAAGTATTGCGGTTTTCGACGTGAATACGTTTCTCGAATTCTTCGTTGACACAGATGTGGAACTGGTAAGTTATTTAGGTTTCGCCGTGAGTGCGTTTCTCGAATCTACCTCGCCACTGATGTGGGGTCAAATTTGGGACCACAGAAGGAAAACACAGAACACGGATTAGATGTAAGAAAGATATATTAACAACAGGTTACAGAGATAGTCTAAGCGGAGCTTACTATATGTTAGTGTCCAATACTGGTAGTCGTACTCGGCTGTCTCTATCCCTCTGTCTCTCTGTGTCACTCTCTAGAGTGCTATGTCGCCTACTTAATATAAGCCTGGAAGAGTCTATTGTGTAGGTAGTTTCCGGTATCACAATACTAGTGTTTATAAATAATATATTTAGCTGAATTATCCAACACTGCTGGACATACGGCCGGATCACTTTGAGACACCGGGTCCCGTACGATGACTTAAGTTAAGCAAAGTCGAGCCTGATTAATTCCAAAGATTGGTGACCGCATGGGAATATCAGGCGCTGTAAGCTTGGCTGTGCGGGTGGTCCAATCAATAATGACTCGGAATTGTTAATTGGAGAGCCAAGTTTCAAATCCAGCTTAGTTTGTTATATTCACTTACGTTCAAATAATCTTGGTATGAATTCACCGCGTCCTGGGTATGGCGATAAACTACATCCGCGTCCTGGGTATGGCGATAAACTACATCCAACAGCAAGGCCTCAGATAATGTTTTCGGAAAAATAATGTTTCCAGCTATACGTTTTTGAAACAATAATGTTCCCAGCTATCCGTTTTTGGAACCATAATGTTGACAGCTATACGTTTTTGAAACCATAATGTTGCCAGCTATACGTTTTTGAAACCATAATGTTGCCAGTATACGTTTTTGAAACAATAATATTGCCAGCTATGCGTTCTTGACTTTTAAAGTCACTCAAAATCATTTTCGGCATAAATTGACCACTAATGTTGAGATGCCGATAAACAAAACAATCAACAATCAAATGGAAATTCTTGACTTAAACAAAAAATACCTAGGATTATTTTACAGTGTGCAAGCAAATAAGCTCTAGCTTGCTAAAAATGTTCCATACAAAATAGGCATTTAAAATTCATATATTTGGCATATATATATAAACTGGATTTGGCATTAAATAACCCACAGCGGTTGATATACCATAAAACCCAAACAAACAAACAATGAATCCACCTTTTCTCCCCAGAGCTCTGGGTTAATTTGTAAGACATTTTTTTCACTAAAAAACATTATTATCTCCGAAAAAAATAAAAATAAAATTGCGTACAAAATATTTACATTTCGGTATTTAAGGACCCATAGAGGTGTTGATATGCCGCTAAAGAAAAAAAAAACAATTTTGCTTTCAATTTCTGGCACTGGAAACCAGATAGAAACCTCATTTTTTTTTCTATTTTACGCCCCTAATAAATAAATACCGCGTTTAATATTATCCACATTAACAAACGATTTCCGAAAAATAAAATATATGTGTTTGTTAATCCAACAATTTTGATTAGTTTACAGACAAAAGATCATTGATAAAAGAAATGAAAAGAGGAAAATCTTTTAGATTATGACGAAGAACGTTATTGAGGCAAATGTAAAAATTATATTTAAGGTTCTGTATTTACACACACAAAAATACTTACGTTAGAAAAAAAAATAAAGTTATGCGTTCAAATTTGAGCCAAAGACACATTCCAAAAGCTAAGCAGAGTATTTGACTTTTCTAAAAGCACAGAAAAAAGCACTGAAATGTTATAAGTCTTCCTGTAGGGCAGTCTCCTCAAAAATTAAGAATAAACTGGAAGCAAGAGAAATCTCTTTCTACAGAATTCTGCTGGGATTGCCTTATGATCAACGAGAAAGTTTTAGAGAAAATGAAAACAAAAAAAAAATAAAACTCTTACTGAGTGTAACAGCAAAATTGTCTAAATCGAGTAAAAGAAAAACATGAAATTTTTAGATTAAGATCTGGAATGATGTATCTTAGAAATGATTAAAGATATCTCACTGGAATTCTCCGAAATTTTTATAACAATATTGGACTCTATTTGAAAAGTAAGAATGTATAATTAATGTCCAAACTTAGTGGAAGAATCGCGATGAAATCGATCATAAACGAAAATGACATGTTCATCATTAATTAATCATAGCTAAGGATTGGAAGCTCGTGAAAGATTAAAATTAGCTCATACATATATATATATATATATATATATATATATATATATATATATATATATATATATATTTTTTTGTTTAAATTTGATTTAAAACGAGAGTTTGAAACCATCCAGGCCGAAAACCATTTCGGCTCTCGTTTTTGAAACATGGGAACCTTATGTAGCGAAGAAATCATATTTTTTAAACAAAAATATTATTATAAAGCTCTACTGTATGGAGCACAGTCTTCTAAAAAAAAAAAAAAAAAATACTAAGGAACTGCTGATTATGCACCCAACGCGTTCTTTTCTATTTTCTGCATGCCTGCACATATATATATATATATATATATATATATATATATATATATATATATATATAAAAAATATAGTCTTAAGGTGTGCTATATTTATGGGATAAAGTGCTCAATATCAGAGATAGAGCGTGTATAAATATAAACGTGAACATTGAAGTCAACACTTAGAGGCGACAGGCTGTTTCATGCTAGACGCAATTTTCAGGCCTGACCACTCTAACCACTTGCATCCTAATGGCTGGATAGCCTTGCTTGGGGCGAAATCATTAAAAAAAAGAGTTACCTGAAAAAAAGGTAAAAAAAGTTACCTTTTGAAATGTTGCGGATTCCGAGATGAAATTCGGTCTCCAATGAATGACAAACGCAAGAATTAAATATAAGAAATTAAATGTATTTACACAATAATACAATGGGTAATACTGTTAGTAAATCCAGGAATGCGGTTAGTAGCAATAATATATATATATATATATATATATATATATATATATATATATATATATATATAGTCTCGAAGTAGGACTTCCTTAGATTCTACGTGCTTGTAACTGACTTCTACAAGCGGTTATCTCACACTGTTACTCTGCTTTTGACTCAATCACAATCTCAGTCTGTATACTGACTGACTCTGGGTATTTAAAAAATGTGCATGTTACCAACACCACTATGTGCTGGTCTATTTTGATGAACAAATTTCCTCCGTTTTGTCGCATGATTCTGCTGATAGAAGACAAAAATGTCTTTCTAAAATGACTAAATAACAGCAGTTTCCTTCTGGAGACGTTAACGTTTTAAAGCCATTACTTGCCCCAGTTAACAACAGATTGAAGCTCATTTTGGAGATCAACAGCCACTTTTACTTTGTCAGACTTTTCGGAATTACTGTTAAGACAGGAGTCTGTTGTGTATGATACACCTAATTTACATAAGCGGACTACCGACCATATAAATATGGGTTGGTACCGGAAGACGGGGAAGATAGTAGAGATTAAGAAATTGAATCCAGAGACTCTGCCCGACTGCGATTTAGTCAACCCATTATGCAGGAACAGTCTTCCCAAGAATATACCAAACTAACTGTAAATATTGTGTACCTATTCTTTGTTTCAATACATTTTGTTAACGTACATTTTGTGTTGTATTATTCCATGCTTATTTAAGCTTCAACAGAGTCAATGGTTGCGTCATCAGGATAAATATCTACTGGGAATTGGTGACATAGGGAAGATCGTTAATGATGATAAAAAAATCAATCCCAGGAGAGTACCCTAGTGTAAATTAACGTAGAAGGATCTAGATGTGTCACAGTACAACACGGTTTTGATTACATATATGAATTATTTTATAGAATCTCTGCATTTGATGGTTTTAGCTTTCCAACTGTAGTTTCCTTTTCTTACCTACCCGGCACAAGTAATCTGAGATAAGGGAAGTATCATTATTCGGCCTTGTGCCACATCTAGGCTAGCTTGGAAAATAAGTAAGGGGAGTATCATTACCAAGAATAATTTGCTGACGAAATTAAGTATTTAGAAGCTAATTACACCACTTGTTAAAATAACAGAAAATGAGTCGTTTAGTAGACAAAGTAATAAATTTCACTTTTATTTTTTTAAAAGAAAAGGATATCTGGTCAGTGAAGAACGAAATAATTATGTGGAAATGGGGGGGGGGCAATTGACGAAAGGAAAGAAAAAACCCAAGGAAACCTGAGGGCAGAATTTAAAAATGCAGGATAAAGAAACGACAAATAAAACTAAGAATGAAAATAACTGAAACACGTAAAGAGAGTTTGAAGACGAAAAGGTAACCGCGAAAAGGAAAATAATGACCATAAAGTAAATGATGAAGAAAGAAAGAAAGAAAGAAAGAAAGGAAATAAAGAAAAGGAACAAGAAAGAAAAGGAAGGAGAAAGAAAGAAAGAAAGAAAGAAAGAAAGAAAGAAAGAAATAAAGAAAAGAAAAACAAGAAAGAAAGAAAGGAAAAGAAAGAAAGAAAGAAAGAAAGAAAGGAAATAAAGAAAAGGAACAAGAAAGAAAAGGAAGGAGAAAGAAAGAAAGAAAGAAAGAAAGAAAGAAAGGAAATAAAGAAAAGGAACAAGAAAGAAAAGGAAGGAGAAAGAAAGAAAGAAAGAAAGAAAGAAAATGAAAAAAAGGAACAAGAAAGAAACGGAAGGAAAAAGAAAGAAAGAAAGAAAGAAAGGAAATAAAGAAAAGGAACAAGAAAGAAAAGGAAGGAGAAAGAAAGAAAGAAAGAAAGAAAGAAAATAAAGAAAAGGAACAAGAAAGAAAAGGAAGGAGAAAGAAAGAAAGAAAGAAAAAAGGAAATAAAGAAAAGGAAAAGAAAGAAAAGAAAGAAAAGAAAGAAAGAAAAAAAAAAAAGGAAAAAGAAAGAAACGGAAGGAAAAAAGAAAGAAAAAAGAAAGAAAAGAAATAAAGAAAAGGAACAAGAAAGAAAAGGAAGGAGAAAGAAAGAAAGAAAGAAAGAAAGAATAATGTAGCGAAAAATAAAGGGCATAAGAAAGGTGTAAAGAAATGGTAAGGAATTGAAGTAATAAAAAAGAAGAAAGAAAAAAGGAAAGAGGGGAAATATTCCTAAAAACGAAAGAAATGAAAGAAGAAATGAAGGATGAAATTACTAAACAGAGAGAAAGAAATAGTTATAATAAAAGAATTAATAACGAAACGAAAAAACAGAATAGAACATGTAATAATAAGATAATGGATAAATAATTTGAAAGAAAGGAAGGAAGAAAAACTCAGGAAAACGAAAGATGAAAAATGTGGAAAAATCTTTAATGGAGCTGTTAAAATCACAGGAAATATGAAGAAACAATTTTGAAAGAACTGAAGAAAGAACTGGAGAAAGAAAGAAAGAAAGAAAGAAAGAAGTAAGAAGGGGAAGGAAGAAGAAACAATGAAATCTTTATGAAGAAGGAAAGAAACAAACAAACAAAGAAATGAAGGAAGGAAAAAATTACTAAAAGAAATGAAAGAACGGATTGGAATAAAAAGAAATGTTAATGAACTGAAAAATCAAGAAAAATATGAAAACTATTCTGAAAGAATCAATAAACGAAAAAGGTGGAGAGAACCCAAGTTTAATCGAATTGTAAAAAAAAACAGGGAATATGATAAAAATATTTTGAAGTAACTGAAGTAAGAAGAAGGAAAAGAAAAGAACAGAAATGAAGCAAGAAAAGTAGACAAAAAGTGAGAAAAATAACAAAGGATGAATAGAAAAAAAGATACAATGAAGAGATAACAAATAATGAACTGAAAGAGAATTGAAAAAGAAAAAATCAATGTAAGGTGTAAAAAGAAAGAAAGAAAGAAACCAATCAAACAAACAAATTATATAGAAAGAAAAAAGAAGTACAAATACACGAAAGAAAGTAATAAAGAAATAATTTAGAAATAAAAAAGTAGAGACGCATGAAATAAAGAAAGAATGTATTTAGAAAGAAAAAAACTACAAATGCATGAAATGAATGAATAAAGACAGAAATCATTTAAAAAGAAAAAGTACAAATGCATAAAATAAATAAATAAAGAAAGAAACTATTTAGAAAGAAAAAGAAGTACAAACACATAAAATAAATAAAAAAAGAAACTATTTAAAAAGAAACTATTTAGAAATAAAAAAAATAAAGAAAAATTTAGAAAAAAAGAAACAAAAGAAAGAAAGAAAGAAAAAACAAATATTAAATAAAGAAAGAAAGAAAAAGAAAGAAAAACAGTACAAATACATAAAATAAAGAAAGAAATAAAGAAACTATTTAGAAAGAAAAAGAAGTACAAATACATAAAATAAAGAAAGAAAGAAACTATTTAGAAAGAAAAAGAAGTACAAATACATAAAATAAAGAAAGAAAGAAACTATTTAGAAAGAAAAAGAGGTACAAATACATAAAATAAAGAAAGAAAGGAAGAAAGAAACTATTTAGAAAGAAAAAGAAGTACAAATACATAAAATAAAGAAAGAAAGAAAGAAACTATTTAGAAAGAAAAAGAAGTACAAATACATAAAATAAAGAAAGAAAGGAAGAAAGAAACTATTTAGAAAGAAAAAGAAGTACAAATACATAAAAAAAGAAAGAAAGAAAAAGAAAGAAAAATACAAAAATAAAAAAAAGAAAGAAAAAGAAAGAAACTATTTAGAAAGAAAAAAGAAATACAAATAAATAAAGAAAAAATAAAGAAAGAAAAAGAAGAAAAATAAAGAAAGAAAGAAAAAAGAAAAAGAAGAACAAATACATAAAATAAAAGAAAGAAAGAAAAGAAAAACTATTTAGAAAGAAAAAAGAAATACAAAAAAAATAAAGAAAGAAAGAAAATTTAGAAAGAAAAGAAGTACAAACACAAAAATAAAGAAATAAAGAAAGAAACTATTTAGAAAGAAAAGAAGTACAAAAACATAAAATAAAATAAAGAAAGAAAGAAACTATTAAAAGAAAGAAAAGAAAAAGAAGTACAAATACATAAAAAAAGAAAAAGAAAGAAAATTTAGAAAGAAAAAAAAAAGTACAAAACATAAAACAAAGAAAGGAAAAAAGAATACTATTTAGAAAGAAAAAAACACAAAAATAAAATAAAAAAGAAAGAAAAAACTATTTAGAAAGAAAAAAGAAGTACAAATACAAAATAAAGAAAGAAAGAAAGAAACTATTTAGAAAGAAAAAGAAGTACAAATACATAAAATAAAGAAAGAAAGAAACTATTTAGAAAGAAAAAGAAGTACAAATACATAAAATAAAGAAAGGAAGAAAGAGACTATTTAGAAAGAAAAAGAAGTACAAATACATAAAATAAAGAAAGAAAGAAACTATTTAGAAAGAAAAAGAAGTACAAATACATAAAATAAAGAAAGAAAGAAACTATTTAGAAAGAAAAAGAAGTACAAATACATAAAATAAAGAAAGAAAGAAACTATTTAGAAAGAAAAAGAAGTACAAATACAAAATAAAGAATACAAAAATACGAAAGAAAAATAAAGAAAAAGAAAGAAAAGAAAGAAACTATTTAGAAAGAAAAAAATAAAGTAGAAAAATACATAAAATAAAGAAAGAAAGAAAAAGAAACTAAATACATTTAAAGAAAGAAAGAAAAAGAAGTACAAAAATAAAATAAAGAAAAAAAATTTAGAAAAGAAAAAAAGAAAGAAAATAATTAAGAAAAAAGAAAGAAAAAAAATAAAATAAAAAAGAAAGAAAGAAAATTTAGAAAGAAAAAAAGTACAAAATAAAATAAAGAAAAAAAAACTATTTAGAAAGAAAAAGAATACAAAACATAAATAAATTTAAAAGAAAAAACTATTTAGAAAGAAAAGAAGTACAAATACATAAAAATAAAGAAAAAGAAAGAAACTATTTAGAAAGAAAAGAAGTACAAATACATAAAATAAAAAGTAAAGAAAAGAAACAGAAAAAGAAAAAGAAAAAAATAAAAATAAAGAAAGAAAGAAACTATTTAGAAAGAAAAAGAAGTACAAATACATAAAATTAAAGAAAGAAACAAATACATTTAGAAAGAAAGAAAAAGAAAGAAAAAAGTACAAATACAAAAATAAAAGAAAGAAAGAAACTATTTAGAAAGAAAAAGAATAAAATACATAAAAGAAAGAAAGAAATAAACAAATACATTAAAGAAAAAGAAAGAAAAAAGAAAAAAAATACATAAAATAAAGAAAGAAAGAAACTATTTAGAAAGAAAAAGAAGTACAAATACATAAAAAAAAGAAAGAAAGAAAGAAAGAAAAAAGAAATAAAATAAAGAAAGAAATATTTAGAAAGAAAAAGAACAAATACATAAAATAAAATAAAGAAAGAAAAAGAAAGAAAAAGAAGTACAATAAAATAAAGAAAGAAAGAAACTATTTAGAAAGAAAAAAGAAGTACAAATACATAAAATAAAGAAAGAAAGAAAGAAAAAAATTACAAAAAAAAAGAAAAAAAAAGAAGTACAAATACATAAAATAAAGAAAGAAAGAAAAGAAACTATTAAAGAAAGAAAAGAAGTACAAATACAAAAAATAAATAAAGAAAGAAACTATTTAGAAAGAAAAAGAAGTACATAAAATAAAAAATAAAAATAAAAAAAGAAAGAAACTATTTAGAAAGAAAAAGAAGTACAAATACAAATTAAAGAAAGAAAGAAACTATTTAGAAAGAAAAGAAGTACAAATACATAAAATAAAGAAAGAAAGAAACTATTTAGAAAGAAAAGAAGTACAAATACATAAAATAAAGAAAGAAAGAAACTATTTAGAAAGAAAAAGAAGTACAAATACATAAAAAAATTTAGAAAGAAAAGAAACAAATATTAAAGAAAGAAAAAAAGAAAGTACAAATACATAAAAAGAAAAAGAATTTAAAAGAAAAGAAAACAAATATTTACATAAAAGAAAAAAGAAGTACAAATAGAAAAATAAAAGAAAAATAAAGAAAGAAAAAAACTATTTAGAAAAAAAAAGTACAATACAAATACATAAAAATAAAGAAAGAAAGAAACAAATACATAAAGAAAGAAAAAGAAAGTTTAGAAAGTGGGTCAAAATACATAAAATAAAAGAAAGAAACTATTTAGAAAGAAAAAAGAAGTACAAATACAAAATAAATAAAGAAAGAAACTATTTAGAAAGAAAAGATATATAAATACATAAAGACAAAAAAAAAGAAAGAAACTATTTAGAAAGAAAAGAGTACAAATACATAAAATAAATAAAAAATAAAGAAACTATTTAGAAAGAAAAAGAAGTACAAATACATAAAAGAAAGAAAGAAAGAAACTATTTAGAAAGGAAAAGAAAAAAAAAAAAAGAAAGAAGTACAAAATACATTAAAGAAAGAGAAAAAGAAAAGTACAAATACATAAACCAAAGAAAGAAATAAAAACTATTTAGAAAGAAAAAGAAGTACAAATACACAAAATAAAGAAAGAAAGAAACTATTTAGAAAGAAAAGATTACAAAATACATAAAAATAAAGAAAGAAAGAAACTATTTAAAAGAAAAAGAAGTACAAATAAATAAAAAAAGAAAAAAAAAACTATTTAGAAAGAAAAAGAAGCAAATTAAAAAAAAAAAAGAAACTATTTAGAAAGAAAAGAAGTACAAAAAATAAAATAAAGAAAGAAACTATTTAGAAAGAAAAAAAAGTTACAAATACATAAAAAAAATAAAGAAAGAAACTATTTAGAAAGAAAAAAGAAGTACAAATACATAAAATAAAGAAAGAAAATATTAGAAAAAAAAAAAAAAAATAAAAAATAAAGAAAGAAAAACCAGGGAAAGAAAAAGAAGTACAAATACATAAAATAAAGAAAGAAAGAAACTATTTAGAAAGAAAAAGAAGTACAAATACATAAAATAAAGAAAGAAAAGAAACTATTTAGAAAGAAAAAGAAAATACATAAAATAAAGAAAGAAAGAAACTATTTAGAAAGAAAAAGAAGTAAAATAAAAAAGAAAGAAAGAAAGAAACTATTTAGAAAAAAAAAGAACAAATTTTAAAATAAAGAAAGAAAGAAACTATTTAGAAACAAAAAGAAGTACAAATACATAAAATAACAAAGAAAGAAAGAAACTATTTAGAAAGAAAAAGAAGTACAAATACATAAAAAATAAAGAAAGAAAGAAACTATTTAGAAAGAAAAGAAGTACAAAATACACAAAAATAAAGAAAGAAAGAAACTATTTAGAAAGAAAAGAAGTACAAAACATAAAAGAAAGAAAGAAAGAAACTATTTAGAAAAAAAGGAATTTTTTAACAAATACATAAAATAAAGAAAGAAATAAAAAAGAAAGAAATATTTAGAAAGAAAAAGAAGTACAAATATATAAAATAAAGAAAGAAAGTAAAAGACTATTTAGAAAAAAAAAAAAAGTACAAATACATAAGTGGATTTAGAAAGAAAAAGTACAAAACATAAAATAAAGAAAGAAAAAAAAACTATTTAGAAAGAAAACAGTACAAATACATAAAATAAAGAAAGAAAGAAATAAAAACTATTTAGAAAGAAAAAAAGAAGTACAAATACATAAAATAAAGAAAGAAAGAAACTATTTAGAAAGAAAAAGAAGTACAAATGGTTAAAATAAAGAAAAAAGAACTTAGAAAAAAAAGAAGTACAAATACATAAAATAAAAAGAAAGAAAAAACTATTTAGAAAGAAAAAGAAGTACAAATACATAAAATAAATAAAGAAGAAAGAAACTATTTAGAAAGAAAAAGAAGTACAAATACATAAAATAAAGAAAGAAAGAAACTATTTAGAAAGAAAAAGAAGTACAAATACATAAAATAAAGAAAAGAAAGAAATATTTAGAAAAAAAGAAGTATAAATAATAAATAAAGAAAGAAAAAAGAAAGAAAAAAGTACAAACAAATAAAGAAAGAAAGAAAAATAGGACAGAAAAAGAAGTAAAAAAAAAAAGAAAGAAAGAAACTATTTAGAAAGAAAAAGAAGTACAAATACATAAAATAAATAAAGAAAAGAAAGAAAAAGAAGTACATTTAGAAAAAAAAAGAAAGAAAAACTATTTAGAAAGTCTTCCTACAAATAAATAAAAGAAAGAAAACCATTTGAAAAGAAAAGAAGTACAAAACATAAAAAGAAAGAAAAAAGAAAGTTTAGAAAGAAAAAATACATAAAAATAAAGCAAAGAAAGAAAATATTTTAAAATAAAAAAGAAAAAAAAAAAAATTAAAAAAAAAAAGAAAGAAATTAAAGAAAACTATTTAGAAACAAAAAAGAAGTACAAAATAAAAATAAAAAAGAAAGAAAGAAACTATTTGAAAAGAAAAAATAAAGAAAGAAAAAAAGAAACTATTTAGTACAAATACATAAAATAAAGAAAGAAAGAAACTATTTAGGAAAGAAAAGAAGTACAAATACATAAAAATAAAAAGAAAGAAAGAAAGAAACTATTTAGAAAGAATAAAAAAAAGAAGGAAAAAACTAAAAGAAAGAAAAAGAGACAAAACATAAAATAAAGAAAAGAAAGAAAACTAAGAAAGAAAAAGAAACATAAAATAAAGAAAGAAAGAAACTATTTAGAAAAAAAAAGAAGTACAAATACATAAAATAAAGAAAGAAAGAAAACTATTTAGAAAGAAAAAGAAGTACAAATACAAAATAAAGAAAGAAAGAAACTATTTAGAAAGAAAAGAAGTACAAATAGATAAAATAAAAAAAGAAAATTATTTAGAAAGAAAAAAGTACAAGAAAGAAAAAATAAAGAAAGAAAGAAAGAAAACTATAAAAAGAAAGTAAAAAGAAGTACAAATACATAAAAAAATAAAGAAAGAAAGAAACTATTTAGAAAGAAAAGAAGTACAAATAAAAAAAATAAAGAAAAGAAAAGAAAAATTATTTTAGAAAGAAAAGAAGTACAAATACATAAAATAAAGAAAGAAAGAAACTATTTAGGAAAGAAAAAGAAGTACAAATAAAAAATAATAAAAGAAAGAAATTATTTAGAAAAGAAAAAAAAAGAAGTACAAAATACATAAAAATTTTTTACAAAGAAAGAAACTAAAAAGAAAAAGAAGTACAAATACATAAAATAAAGAAAGAAAGAAAGAAACTATTTAGAAAGAAAAAGAAGTACAAATACATAAAATAAAGAAAGAAAAGAAACTTATTTAGAAAGAAAAAGAAGTACAAATACATAAAATAAATAAAGAAAAAAAAACTATTTAGAAAAGAAAAGAAGTACAAATACATAAAAGAAAGAAAGAAAGAAACTATTTAGAAAGAAAAGAAGACAAATACACAAATAAAAAAAAAATAAAGAAAGAAAAATACATAAAAAATTATTTAGAAAAAAAAAAAGAAGTACAAATAAATTAAAAATAAAGAAAAAAAAAAACTATTTAGAAAGAAAAAGTACAAATACATAAAAATAAAGAAAGAAAGAAACTATTTAGAAAGAAAAAAGAAGTACAAATACATAAAATAAAGAAAGAAAGAAAACTATTTAGAAAGAAAAAGAAGTACAAATACAAAAAATAAAGAAAAAAGAAAATTTAGAAAGAAAAAGAAAATTACATAAAAATAAAGAAAAAAGAAACTATTTAGAAAAAAAAAGAACAAATATAAAAAAATAAATAAAGAAAGAAACTATTTAGAAAGAAAAGAAGTACAAATACATAAAATAAAGAAAGAAAAGAAACTATTTAGAAAGAAAAAAGATAAATACATAAATAAAGAAAGAGAAAAGAAACTATTTAGAAAGAAAAAAGAAGTACAAATACATAAAAGAAAATAAAGAAAGAAAGAAACTATTTAGAAAGAAAAAGAAGTACAAATACATAAAATAAATAAAAAAGAAAGAAATTATTTAGAAAGAAAAAGAAGTACAAATACATAAAATAAAAGAAAGAAAAAGAAAGAAAAAAAAGAAATTAAAATAAAGAAAGAAAAAAGAAACTATTTAGAAAGAAAAAGAATTATAAAATAAAGAAAAAGAAACTATTTAAAAGAAAAAGAAGTACAAATACATAAAATAAAGAAAAAAAGAAACTATTTAGAAAAGAAAAGAAGTACAAATACATAAAATAAAGAAAAAGAAAGAAACTATTTATGAAAGAAAAAAAAACATAAAAAAACAAAAAATAAAGAAAGAAAAAGTACAAAACTATTTAGAAAGAAAAAAGATTTACAAAAGAAAAAGAAACAAATATAAAAAAGAAAGAAACTATTTAAAAAAGAAAAGAAGTACAAATATATAAAATAAAGAAAGAAAAGAAACTATTTAGAAAGAAAAAGAAGTACAAAACATAAATAAAATAAAGAAAGAAAGAAATTTAGAAAGAAAAGAAGTACAAATACAAAAATAAAAAGAAAGAAAGAAACTATTTAGAAAGAAAAAAAGTACAAATACATAAAATAAAATAAAGAAAGAAAGAAACTATTTAGAAAGAAAAGAAGTACAAATACATAAAATAAAGAAAAGAAACTATTTAGGAAAGAAAAAGAAGTACAAAAATAACATAAAGAAAGAAAAGAATAGAAAGAAAAAAGAAGTACAAATTTAGAAAAAAAAAAAGAAAGAAAAAACAATAAAATAAAGAAAGAAAAAAAAAGTATAAATACATAAAATAAAAAAAGAAAAACTATTTAGAAAGAAAAATAGTACAAATACATAAAATAAAGAAAGAAAGAAACTATTTAGAAAGAAAAGAAGTACAAATACATAAAAATAAATAAAGAAAGAAACTATTTAAAAAGAAAAAGAAGTACAAATGCGTAAAATAAATAAAGAAAGAAAGAAACTATTTAGAAAGAAAAAGAAGTACAAATACATAAAAAAATAAAGAAAGAAAGAAACTATTTAGAAAAAAGAAAAGAAGTACAAATACATAAAAATAAAGAAAAGAAAAGAAACTATTTAGAAAGAAAAGAAGTACAAAATAAATAAAGAAAGAAAGAAACTATTTAGAAAGAAAAGAAGTACAAATACAGAAAAAATAAAGAAAGAAAGAAACAAATTTAGAAAGAAAAAAAAAAGAAGTACAAATACATAAAAATAAAAAAGAAAAAGAAATAAAAAACTATTTAGAAAGAAAAAAGAAGTACAAATACATAAAATAAAGAAAGAAAGAAACTATTTAGAAAGAAAAGAAGTACAAATACATAAAATAAAGAAAGAAAGAAACTATTTAGAAAGAAAAAGAAGTACAAAAATAAAATAAACAAAGAAAGAAAAATTTAGAAAGAAAAACAAATACATAAAATAAAGAAAGAAAATAACTATTTAGAAAGAAAAGAAGTACAAATACATAAAATAAAGAAAGAAAGAAACTATTTAGAAAGAAAAAAGTACAAATACATAAAATAAAAATAAAGAAAAGATTTATAAAGAAAAGAAACAAATACAAAATAAAAGAAAAAAGAAAATTTAGAAAGAAAAAAAGAAGAAAATAATAAATAAAGAAAGAAAGAAACTATTTAGAAAGAAAAAAGAAGTACAAATACAATAAAATAAAAAAGAAACTATTTAGAAAAGAAAAGAAGTAAAAAACAGAAAATTAAAGAAAGAAAGAAATTAAGAAAGAAGAAAAAAAAAATACAAATAAATAAAAATAAAGAAAGAAAGAAACTAAGAAAGAAAAGAAACAAATACATAAAATAAAGAAAGAAAGAAACTATTTAGAAAAAAAAGAAGTACAAATACATAAAATAAAAAAAAAAGAAACTATTTAGAAAGAAAAAAGAAGTACAAATACATAAAAATAAAAGAAAGAAAGAAACTATTTAGAAAGAAAAAGAAGTACAAATACATAAAATAAAGAAAGAAAGAAAGAAAAAAGAAAAAGAAAGAAATACAAAAAAGAAAGAAAGAAAGAAACTATTTAGAAAGAAAAAAGAAGTACAAATACATAAAAAAGAAAGACTAAGAAAGAAAAAAAGTACAAATATTAAAGAAAGAAAGAAATCTATTTAAAAGAAGTACAAATACATAAAATAAAGAAAGAAATAAAGAAACTATTTAGAAAGAAAAAGAAGTACAAATACATAAAATAAAGAAAGAAAGAAACTATTTAGAAAGAAAAAGAAGTACAAATACGTAAAATAAAGAAAAAAAGAAACTATTTAGAAAGAAAAAGAAGTACAAATACATAAAATAAAGAAAGAAAGAAACTATTTAGAAAGAAAAAGAAGTACAAATGCATAAAATAAAGAAAGGAAGAAAGAGACTATTTAGAAAGAAAAAGAAGTACAAATACATAAAATAAAGAAAGAAAGAAAACTATTTAGAAAAAAAAAGAAGTACAAAACAAAGAAAATAAAGAAAAAAGAAAGAAACTAAAGAAAGAAAGAAAGAAAATATTTAGAAAGAAAAAGAAGTACAAATACATAAAATAAAGAAAGAAAGTAACTATTTAGAAAGAAAAACAGTACAAATACATAAAATAAAGAAAGAAATAAAGAAACTATTTAGAAAGAAAAAGAAGTACAAATACATAAAATAAAGAAAAAAAGTACAAAAACAAAAAAGAAAGAAAGAAACTATTTAGAAAGAAAAAGAAGTACAAATACATAAAATAAAGAAAGAAAGAAACTATTTAGAAAGAAAAAGAAGTACAAATACAAAATAAAGAAAGAAAGAAAGAAACTATTTAGAAAGAAAAAGAAGTACAAATACATAAAATAAATAAAGAAAGAAACTATTTAGAAAGAAAAAGAAGTACAAATACATAAAAGAAAGAAAGAAAGAAACTATTTAGAAAAAAAAGAAGTACAAATATATAAAATACATAAAATAAAGAAAGAAAGAAGAAAGAAAAAGTATACAAATACATAAAATAAAGAAAGAAAGAAAAAGAAAGAAAAAGAAGTACAAATACAAAAAATAAAAGAAAGAAAGAAACTATTTAGGAAAAAAAAAAGAAGTACAAATACATAAAAAATAAAAAAGAAAGAAACTATTTAGAAAGAAAAGAAGTACAAATATATACAAAATAAAATAAAAGGAAAGAAAGAAAGAAACTATTTAGAAAAGAAAAAGAAGTACAAATACATAAAAATAAAGAAAGAAAGAAACTATTTAGAAAGAAAAAGAAGTAAAATACATAAAATAAATAAAGAAAGAAACTATTTAGAAAGAAAAAAGTACAAATACATAAAGAAAGAAAAAAAGAAAAGAAAGAAAGAAAGAAAACTATTTAGAAGAAAAAGAAGTACAAATAAATAAAATAAATAAAGAAAAAGAAAGAAAAAGAAGTACAAATACAAAAAAAGAAAGAAAGAAAGAAACTATTTAGAAAGAAAAGAAGTACAAATACATAAAATAAAGAAAGAAAGAAAGAAAAGAAACAAATATTTAGAAAGAAAAAGAAGTACAAATACAAATAAAAAATAAAGAAAGAAAGAAACTATTTAGAAAGAAAAAGAAGTACAAATACATAAATAAAGAAAAAAAAAAAAGAAAGAAAAAAAAAGTATTTAAAGAAAGAAAGAAAAAAAGAAAAAGAAGTACAAATACATAAAAATAAAGAAAAGAAAGAAACTATTTAGAAAGAAAAGAAGTACAAATACATAAAAAAATAAAAAAGAAAGAAAAAAAAGAAAAAAACTATTTAGAAAGAAAAGAAGTACAAATACATAAAATAAAGAAAGAAAGAAAGAAACTATTTAGAAAGAAAAAGAAGTACAAATACATAAAATAAAAAAAGAAAGAAACTATTTAGAAAGAAAAAGAAGTACAAATACATAAAATAAAGAAAGAAAGAAACTATTTAGAAAAAAAAAAAAAGAAAATACATAAAATAAAGAAAGAAAGAAGAACTATTTAGAAAAGAAAAAAGAAGTACATAAAATAAAGAAATAAAATAAAGAAAAGAAAAGAAAGAAGAAAAGAAACTATTTAGAAAGAAAAAGAAGTACAAAACAAAAATACAAAAAAAAAGAAAGAAAGAAACTATTTAGAAAGAAAAAGAAGTACAAATACATAAAATAAAGAAAGAAACTATTTAGAAAGAAAAAGAAGTACAAATACATAAAAT